CTGGACACAGCACTGCAGCTGGGGTCTCAGCAGTGCCAAGTAGAGAGGAAGTATCACTTCCTTAGCCCGCTAAGGAAGTAGGCAGCAAAAAGAGAAATATTTATTTTAGCTTCGTTTTCTTCTCTGTCTCTAGTGCTTCAGGCTAGAGAATGTATTTCCATGAAAAACAAAGTTGGCTTCGCCTCCCCTACCCCCACACCCCCGGATGAGCCACTTCACTCAATAGTGTCAGAAGTTTATACCTCCCCCACATCCGTGACACTTCCTTCACAGAAAACAACACTGAAAAAGCCAAAGAAAAGCTACATGTCAAGAACGTAAGTTAGAAATAGCCTGATCAACTGGAATTCAGTGCTCCAGGCTGAAATCTTGAAAACTATTTAATCTGGTTTCTGTTTTAACTCATCTATGCTAAGAGCATAGACCTCCATGCTCAGGAGTCGTACCCAGGGTGATCCTGTACTTCTTCCACAGTGGACGCATCTAATAACCTAATAACACTAAAAACATTAAAAAGCCATATACTGGCACTACGGCACAGTAGCACCAGTTACTGCACATTGATTTAGTACTTGGTTATGCAAGTACTAAACTTAAGGTACAGTAACTACGGTGCATTAATGAGTGTGTAGACGCACCCAGAGGAGTCCGGTATGCTACTGCATCATCATCGTTACTGTAGAAATAATGAAAGAAAGAAGAAAATGTATACGTATGTTATTTAGGGGAAGAGAAAATAACTGTCTTGGCATGAAGAACTTCTGGAAAAATGCTGTATTGTTCCAATTATAAGTCAACCCCACATTTTCGGTTTCAATTTTAGGAAAAAACAGATTTTCTTGAAGCGGAGATTGATGTTCCTGCAAAGGCAAACTGAAAATCAGGCATTGCAATCCAATTATTGCCCAGTGTCTCAGGCCTGATTATACGTGGGCCCTGGATATAAGTAAAGTGTGGATTTTTTTTATTATTGTTTATTTTTGAAGGAGGGGGAAAAATGTTGACTTATCCTCAGAACAACACAGTATAAATTGCCTTTCCTTTCTTGGCTTCCTGGCACACCAGCATAATGCTCTTCTAACATAGTTTTACTGTACGTATGGAAATGCAGGTCTGTTGTTCACACTACTGATTTATAGGTAAATGAGCACTTCCTTTCACGCCATTCATTAAGTGACAGGAGAAGGCCATGTGATTATAAATAAAGGGGTCTGACCCTGCTGACGTCAATCCAATTTTTGTTATCGAGTTTACCATGGCCAGGATTTTCCCCAAGGAGATTATGATCTCCTTGAGTGTCTTTGAGAGCTTTGGATGGAGCTGCTAAAAGCATGCAAGGCAGAACAGCGCTTGTTTAAAGAAAATCATTTTTAATGATCAGTAAAGCAGCATGAAACCTTGTGGGCATCTCTTACCTGGACCTACATGATTTTCCTCTGTGCACTCAAGGAGATTAATGGGTCTCAGCTCCATGTGGATGGAGCAGTCCTGAGATATCTTGATTCTGAAAGTGAGGTAGAGGCAGGCTCATGTATGTGTGTGTGTGTGTGTACACCCCTTTCAGACTTAAATTCTCACGAAAAGCTGAAGTGCTTTCAAAACTAACCCTGTTGTGGTGCCTTTGTCAACCATCGCATGCGTTGAGGGAGCGCGGCTCCCAGCAAGGTCCTTGCCTTCGTGTCAACTGCATTTCAACCGTTTTTGTCATCAGAGAGGAAACGATAACAACCGTGGTGAAGACCCCAAGGCAAAAGCGAAGGGTGTCTCCTGCCCGGCCTCCTTCAGGACACTCTCCATCTCGGTCTCCACGACCAGAGCTATCGATGCCAGAGCCCGTTTACATTTCGAAGGTCCAGCAGCCTGTACACAAGCAGGAGAAAGAGGTGGTTCTGAAAGGCGCCATCCCCGTGCTTTTTGTGACGGAGCCAGATGAAAGACAAGGAGCGGCATCTAGAGATATCATCATAGAAGCCAAGGCGGAAGAACAGAAACCCAAATGGGTTGAAGTGGAGGAAATCATTGAATTCAAGGTGAAAAAACCACAAAAAACTACAAGGAAGAGAGGAGCGTCCCCAGTGAAACAAGAAAAAGATGACTCGGGCGTGCTAACATTCACTCTGCCTGGTCCCAGACCTAGGCATTCCCCAGAAGATGATCCAAACACTAATAACTCCAACAATAAATTAGTAGAGCAAGCCAAGTCTTCCCTTCCTACTGACAGTCTTTCAGAAGTTGACATCCCTCCCCTGGCCTACGGAGATGACCAGGAAGGAGACCCAGTCAGCAGTGATAACATGAGTTCTCAGTGTGGGCCCGAACAGTTAGGCAGCACTTCTTTTATCGATTGTGGGACTGAAGGAAAGACCTGCACGCAGGAAGTAAGTGAGGGCAGTGGTTCAGAAACTACTTCACCACTGCTTGCCTGTGGGGGTGAACCCTTAACCTTCAGCTTTGAGACAGCTGATGTAAGGAAATATGACCTCCTACATTCGCAAGCGAGTGCGGAGGTTAAAAAAGATGCTGCTGATGAGTTAGAAGTACCGTGGACTGCTGAAAAGGCAGTGCTGGAGCCAGTGCAAGATGAGGGTCTTCCAGAAGGAGACAATATTGTTATAATTGATGAGCCCGAAGAACTAGAAAGAGTTGATATTAGCAACCGGGACCCCAAAATCCTGACCCACAATGGGAAGGCGTTGACTCTGGAAGACCTTGAAGACTACGTTCCTGAAGAAGGCGAGACATATGGGTGTGACAACCAGAACTACCCCAGAGACAAACCTTGTGAGATCTCTGTGCTTCAGACAGAAATTAATGAACCGACCATCGGGAAGCCAGTGCTGCTGAATCTGGGGAGATCTGTGGCTCCTAAGCCAAAGCAAAGCTTCTTCAGCAAGTTCAAGGAGCACCTTCCCGGAGGCACGTTCATGTCAGCATCGAGAGTAACAGGAATGCAGTCCATGGGTCCGTCCAACGTTTCTTTCCACGTCAGTGAAACTTGCACAGCAGCAACAGCACCTGGCATATCGCCGGGACCCTCTTTTAAAATGAAGCCATCCTTCTGTACCGAAGTCCAGCTCTCACCGGACAATGGACAGTCCAGCTTTAAAACTGAAGTTTCCACCAGAACCGTCAGCTATGGCACTATCGGAGAGCCCGTTATGTTGCACATCAGCACGGAGGACCCCTCCCAAAGCTGAGCAGATACGAGCCTGATCCTTAAAATAAAGCCATATGTAAATAAGTAACAAGCAAGCAAATGAACAAAGGTCTAGGATGGGAGGAATGAGTGGTGAGAAGCACAAAGAAGAAAAGGGAGAAAAAAAAAACCAAACCAAAACCTGTGGGCAAATATGTGTAATGTGGTGATGTAGAGCTTTTCTAGTCTTAAAGGGAACATTTCTGTCAGTTCAGGTTGTAATGAAAAAGCTTTTGGAGAACACATATCATTCCAAGCAACAGTGACAGTCAGGTACAATAGATGTAGGAAAGCCTGCTTCTCCGACTTGTGACAAAAATACTACATAAATAAATAAGGACAGTTTTTTTTGAGAGGTTAAAAATCACTTTAGGTGTCAAACTTCCAAGTTACAGTGTGGCAAGAAGGTCAAGAGACCTCGGGGCCTTTGAGGAATCAGGAGAAGGAAGGGTAGTGTCATCCAAACATGTCTCCTGTCAATGTGCATGCCAGCGGGGTTATAAGGGCTTACACTGTTTTAATGTCACTAAGTACCAATGACGCAACTTAGCCCTGCCAAAAACATGTTCATAAACCTTTTAAAATGAGCTCTCTTTAAATTATTTTAACGTTTGCTATGGAAAACAACCTATAGAAGATCCTGCAGTTATTAAACTACCCTACTCACTTTAGCGACTGCCCAAACGTTTTGATTGCAATCCTGCCCCAACTGAAGTCAACTGCAAGACTCCCATTGACTTCAGCAGGGGCAGGATTTCACCCCGTGGTACAACACTGTTCTATTAAAAAACCATCCTTGTTAAACACCTGCTCTTTGATTGTTCCTGACATGGTTGCATAAAGGCACAGGCTTCACAACTCTGCAGCCTGTTTTCAGGCTCAGTAGATCTGTATGCCCTCTAAAATCAGATACAGCTTTGTGTTACCTGCATGTAAGAAAAAAATCTGGTGAATGAAACAGAATGTGCAATTTAATGTAGTATAGATCAGTCAAGCCAAGGCATGTGGAGAGCCACAAATGAATTATTTTGTTGAATGATTACTTACTGTAAGCATAAAGAGTTTCCTGGACATATTAATGGTTAAATATTGCCATTAAAATGAATGGTTAGAGTCTCCAAATATACAGAAATTTACCAGTGAGCCAGATCAAAATAACAGGAGTGCAACCCTCATCCAGTAAAACCCTCTTTAGCTAATAACTAAATACATAAGCTAAATAGTTAACGGACGTTGTGCCATAAGCTTTTTCCTGGGTTTCAATGTTTTATGCTCACTGACAATACTGCCAGTACAAGATGTGTAGTGAACTCTCAAGTGTTTATATTCAGTTATGTTGTAGAGGTCACCCTTTATCATAGACTACTTTTTCTTTCTCTAGAGCATTGATGTGAGAGATTTAGTATGTGTGGTGGTGCCTGTTTCATTAATGGCATGAATTCTGCAAGGTGCTGAGTACTCTGAGAGGTGCTATGCACTCTTAACACCCATTCATTTCAATGAAAATGGTGTTAGGCACTCTCAGCTCCCATTGACTTCAATGAAAATGGTGCTAGGCACTCTCAACTCCCATTGACTTCAATGAAAATGGTGCTAGGCACTCTCAGCTCCCATTGACTTCAATGAAAACGGTGCTAGGCACTCTCAACTTCCATTGACTTCAATGAAAATTGATGCTGCATAGCACTTTCAAAACCCCTTTGCAGGATTGAGCTATTAGGACCACATCTTGATCGTACTTGAAGTCAGTGGGAACTTTTCCATTGATTTCAATAAGACCAGGAATTGGCTCTAAGGTATCTGGCATTGCTCTGTGACAGAAGGTATGAGAAAAAGACGCAAACCCTTATTTAAACTGAGTTACACTGTAATGTTGCTAGAGAACACCAACTTTTTGTCTGGATGTGACAGAATAACCAGGATATTACAGAAATCCTGAGAGACAGTTCACTTGATAACCATCTTAGAGCGGACTGAATTTTCTCTTCAAAATGTTGATGTGCGATGTTCTGGCTTGACGTTCTCTAACTAGATAATATGTGAAACTTGTTCAGGAATTGTTCGGGAATCTTCTTAAAATGATTTAACTTAAGAAACGTGCCTTCTCAGAAATAACGATAATTATCTTGATTGCTGCACCTTGAAGATATGATGACTAAAATTAATTCAGTCGTTTTACATGCTTTTTTTTATTTTCAGTATCCAAAAGGTATATTTTATCCAATAATGTGCACTACATTTTTGACATTTGGATATTTCTCAGTGACTACATGTGGTGAAAGAAATCAAACCTATTTTATGTTACTATCATATTTTTCATAACACCTCATTGGTTTACACTGTATATTTTATCATTGAGCTATACAATACCTAAAAAGTAGTGCTTCCTCACCTATGAGAAATATTGCACTGTATACTGTACATTGGAAAGTAACTGATATACATTGAGGAAATACTTCTGAACTGAAAATACTTCTTTTTTTTTTATTAGGCCAGATTCTCATCTCAGTTTTTCCAATATCAAGCTTCAGTAATTCCACTGAAATCAGTGGGTTTACTTGAGATTTATATTGAAGGATGAATTTTGCCTATAATAGTCTGTAAGTGAGAATAAAAATAAAGATGTTAGGTCTGCCAGTATACAAAGGAACATGGGGATGATGTTAGCCTGGTCTGATTTTTGCTGAGTAATGATTTTGTTACTGACGCTGTAGAGTTGCATTTCAGGGCATAGGAAAGAAATAGTTATATTTCTGTTATTAACCAAAAATAAAATAACATCTGTTTACATTTTGACAGTTTAAAAAAATCAACTAAAAATCAACTAAAAGTAAGGGAAAATCCTATACGAGATTGCTTTAAAAAAATTGAAAGTTGTATGAAAAACTCTTTCCATTTATTTTCGAAGTATTTTCCTGAAGGTTAAAAAATTATGCTTGTAAGTGATTTAAAATCTGTAGATAAGTAAGGAAATGTGTGGGGATTTATTTCTTGTAGATGAGAACATAACGGTGTATTACAAATTGATACAAAAATGTTTAACTGCAGTTCTTGCAGACAAAAAGGTATTTAAAAAGGTGGAAACTTCAGTTTGTTTCAGAGCCAAAAAACCCCCACCCTAAAATAAAACTATGTCAAGTTATATTAGTAGATGCTGAAGTTCGTATCAATAAATGTCTTGCATCAGCTGTCATTGAGCTCACTCTCTTTTGTGACTTGGTTGATTTGTGGTTTTCTGAGATCTGTAGCTTTCTTCCACTGAAGACAAAGAAAGGCTTTCCCTAGGCTTCAGTGGGTGCATCTACACATTTATTAATGTGCTTTTGGTAATGCATATTAAATGTAGTACCTCCATTGTGAGGTACTAAAAAAAAGGTTCATTAGCCTATTTTAATGCACATTAGCAGAAGCGCATGGGGTTTTTTTGATGCTTTAATACACATTAAAATAGGCTTCTGCTCATGAAAGTGCGTGTGTAGATGCACCCAGTGAGAGTTAGATCAGATCCCAAATGCACTAAGGTGTGTGGGGGGGACCTACATGAATTTGGTTGACCGTGGGCACATCTACACGTGCATTCATGCACCCTAGTTACTGCGCACTATGTTTAGTACCTGTAATAACAGGTATTAACACAACGCACAGCAACCAATGCTACTGCATAGTAGTGCCAGTGCATGCTTTTTTTGTGATGCTAATGCGCACTAGACTAATTCTACCGCTCATAGCGCATTAGCATGGGTTTTGCATGCCGCACTAATGGGCAGTAGAATTAGTCCAATCCACATTTAGCATCCCATGTAGACGCGCTCAGTGAGAGGCAAAAAGCTGGCATATGATGACAGGTTTGGGGTCTTTGTCAGCCTCCTGGGAGATTCTCCGAGTTGAATTTGAACTTCAAAATGATTGAATTACTCTCCTCTTTATCAGGGTTATGGAAGATGAGTCAGAAAGGGCTCATCGCCATAAGGTTTGCACTGCTTCTGATTCAATATTTCCCAGCCAGGAAATACAGTTTGCTAAGGCCTGTCTTTTCTGCAGCTTGGTGTCTGTACTCACGTGACTTTTCTCATGTTACCCTAGCCTGAGGGAAGGCAGCTCCACGGTGAATCAGTGCTGCAGGGAGAAGGGGAAGGGCACAGAGTAGCCCTGGCTCCTCATTAGTTTGAATGTCAGCGGCTCTCAGGCCCTACGATGGGCCACTTAGCTTTTGTTTCAAGCCTCCCGTCACCTACAGATTTGTGTATAGAGGTTGGGGTAGGAGTGATGCTCACTTTATTCTCAAGCTCACATTATGGTGAATGCAAGCCAGAGCAAGACGGAAAAGTGCCAGGGCTTACCTTTGTCTAAACTCTCCATTTCTTGTGCCTGATCACCTCAAACCAATTTGTCGGGAGGAGCTAAGTGTGTATTGATAATGACTCAATGTGATTCAGTTCCTACTTAGATTGCCATCCACTCCCTCCTAATAAGACAGCGTTCAGCACTACATAATAATTCACTTACCTTCAGGTAAGCTCACTGACACCAGCACTGCGATAACCAGTGAGCGGTGTGACAAGGACAATCAAGCAGTGAATAGTTTTCAACAGCCAACTGCTTTTCACTCTTGAACACAGCCCTTCCAGATGATGCATATGAGGACATGTCCTGTAGATAAACGGAGGGCTGCTGTCTCTTCAGCTGTCAGTCAAGCACTTCTCACTGTCACTATATTCACCTCAAGTAAATTAAAAAAACACTGAATAGGAAATGCAATCCAAGAAGACCGGTCCAAGATGCAACCTGCCTTCCTGCCTTTAGATTTTCTGGCACAGTTCATCTGCACTAATTATTTTCTGTGAGATGGGAAGGGAGCAAAATAAAACCCAAATCTCCATTGTTTTATTTCTTCCAGTGGATAGAAAATGAAGACTGTCAGCATTCCTGAGCAAACCTAAAAACAGTGGCACTTATTGGTTGAGGGAAATAAAGCAATTTTACATGGGTGGAAACAGATTTCCAGTTCCAACTTTGGTTTGTTATGAGCAGGGATCCTGGTTTTCTCTGATTTAGAAAAAATCCCCAATTTTCAGATTTAAAAAAGTAACCCCAAATCCACATTTTTCCATGATTA